TTTGTTTGATTACACGATTAACAGTTTGTATTTCATTAATAATTAATTTTTAGCGGGGTCATGGATTACAATATGTAATTAAGTTCATATAGCAATATCAAAAGTTTAAGGATGCATGGCTTACTAGTAGCTACTAGGGCCCAAGCTATAACAAGCCATAGAAAACGGAATATCCTTTAACCAAAGGTTAAACAAAAATTATAAGTCATTTTCAACCTAATAATATCGGCAATAAAATGAGTTTCAAATAGTCACGTACTGTGGAACACAAAGGGAACAAATGGTGACCACAAATTAATGAAGACGTTAGCCAGCCAAATTATTGATGATCTTTTTATCGTTTCTTAGTGGTCGTTGCAAATACAAAGCATTATTTTGTTCCTGGCAAGGCAACTTGCGAAATGGAATCGAAGACCACAAAAAGCTAGTAAATTATAAGTTAAATATATGTGTATGGGTTCACGGGTATGCTTAAGATGGCAACTGTTAATCAGTCTTGTGATCTAAAGAATAATCAAAAGTAATGCATGGAAACATATGCATACATAATTAATTATAGAAAAATTGAACATCCATGATAACTTTCTTTATTATAATTATCCAAAAAAAAAAAAAAAACCTTCAATACTTGGTGTGGATCTCAAGCTTTGCCAGCCAAATTCCAGCCAGCTTTTGCTTCACATGGCTGCCCTATCTTGTACACTTGCTCTCCTGCATGTTTTTAAATAAAATAAAATTAGGGAGATCAATACATTGCGGGGACTCTATATATAAATACCACTGCCGAGTAAGGTCAATCATCGCAACAAGTTGAAAGAACTTATAGTTAGAAATAACTAATAGTACTTTACCAACATTTTTTTTTCTTTTTGTGAAAATAAATAAAAATGGTTTCCAAGAGATACTTATCAAGTCTCTCTCTTTTCCTCTCCATGAACCTTGTCCTTTTTGCCCTAGTAAGTGGGTCCAACACTTGTCCTCAGCCTAAGCCTGTCCCAAACCCTAGTCCTACTAAGTTGAAGTGCCCCAGAGATGCCCTAAAGCTGGGTGTGTGTGCCGATGTGCTCAAAGGACCTGTCGGCGTGGTGGTCGGTTCCCCGCCGGACGTCCCTTGCTGCTCGTTACTCGAAGGTCTTATAGACCTTGAAGCCGCCGTCTGCCTTTGCACTGCCATTAAAGCTAACATTCTAGGCATCAACCTTAACATCCCCATTTCTCTCAGCTTGCTCATTAGCACTTGCAGGAAGGACATCCCCTCTGGCTTCCAATGTGCCTAGCTAGCTACGCCACTTTCTATATGATCTATCCATGGCAACGTTAATATTTGGTTTGGTTTTTCTTATTACGTTAATTATCTTTGTGTATTGTAAAATGTTTCAATTCATGCGCTTTGTACTGTTCAATAACGTTTTCCACACTGAGATTTCAATTACTATTGTAAATCGACCACTGGTGGAGCTTATGTATTAATGTACTTTCGAAGTTCCAATTGCTTGTTTGAATATAATATATTATAAGTAGTTTGTCTGCTTAATGGTAATTAATAAACATACATTGTAATACGAGAAAATACAAAAGCAACAAATTAACGACGTGATATATGAATAAGAGAAACAACAACTCATAAAGGGAGACTAGCATATTTTTAATTAGATTTGGCCGTGAATCGTGATAGATTGTACACGAAGTTGTAACAATACTAACTATTACATATGGAAAGGGCAACTACGTACCTTGGTAATAAAATAGTTAATATGACCAAACTACCTTTAAACGTTAAGTGGTCGTGATCTTTGTCTTGGGTACAAATAAAGTCCTTACGCTTCTCACAATCACAATTAGCGTCATTCATAGATTTAAACGTTTAAGGTATCAATATTAGATTACAAGGTTTTGAAAAATTAATTACAAAATTGGTGTAATATATATAGTTTTTTATTCATTGCTCGTTGGATTAATATGTCACACCATCAAAAAATTGAAGCGTACATGCGTATAATTAAATCAGAAAATTAATAAAGTAATTGCAAACATTCGTGTACGTGGCATGACATCTATATTATTTCATATGACAGGAAAGTGACAAAGAATCATCCTAATTTGAAATCCCTTTCAAGGATAAGTTAAAGACGTTAAAGTTGAAAATAATAATAATAATAACAAATTGAAATAAAATATCACAATAATCCTGGACTACTAATTAACCACAATATTGTACTATAAGCAACTTTGAAATGTACGATAAGGATAATAAGAGTTTGTAATTTAAAACATTGTTGTAATTCATTATTTATTGACAATATTGGGATATATATATATATATGTATATATATATGTATCATCAGTTTAAATTTCATAATTATCTTTTAACCACAATTATTATGAGAATCTGTTAAATATTGTGGTAATTATCTCAGTTTATATACATATTCTGTGTTTTAAATCAACAATACAACGCCCTTGCCATAACTATATATTTATCCTCGCTATAAACAATATAACTTTGATCTCAACAAAGGAACCGAGAGAAACATGCATGTAAGGTTTGGTTATAGTACATAAGATGATGCAACAGAAGGTAGAGAACGTGATTTTACCGGCCTAATTCGGACGGATGATTCTTGAATCCATTTAAAAGAAACCCCACAAGGAGAAAACTCCAAATTGGACAAAAAACTCAACTCTAATTCAATTATTAAAATATTCAAAATCCTCCTAGTATAATAGTTATGTGGCAATTTATAGTCCACTTACAAAACGATGACAAAATACAAACTAACATAAACGATAAATTAGTAACAAAACTAAGCTATATTAGAAAGCTATAACAAACGATAATATCATATAAAAGCGACTACTAATACTCAAATATCTCTACATTAGCTCACCCCATCTATAAAAAAAAAAGGAACTCGACATCAAGTTCATAGAAAACTCTCGGAGATGAACTAATAGTAGCTAGCGAGAATGTGGAATGAAGGAAGCTCGAGAAAGTCAACACAAGAGAAACCCCTATGGGAATGGTAGACTCCAACCGAAAGGTCCTTATGAAGTTCGTCCCAAATCTATAGTGGCGCCAAAGTAATCCTCCAATATAACACCGAAAATGACCAAGCTATTCGCTATTGACGGCTCCTCTCCCCTTTGGTTTTGAAACCACTCAATGAACTAGTGAGGTCTCCCACAAGATAGATGTGAAATGGGTCAAGATTGCTAATAAACCCATTAAGATCCTTCTTTAATTCAAGCGCACCCACAACTAAGTCACTTTCTTCAACTCAAGCTCATTCACAACTAAGCCCTCAACAATTAACTTTTGCTCCTCCTTAAAACCTTCTTCAAAAATGCTCTCACTAAGCTCTATAAGAACACATTCAACTTTTGTTATACTTGATCTGCTAACCCCACGCTTCTGCATCCGAATTCGATTCAGAAACCATCAGCCAGTCCTAATCTCGCGCCAAGCATCTTCGAAGCTCAAATCCGACGCTCCATCTCCCAAAGCTTTTTCCGTAATTAGGTCTTTGATCTCGTTTCACAACGAGATCCGCTTCGCTATCAGTGTTGGTCAAGCGGCGAGATCGATGGGTTTCATGAGGTAATGGCAGATCTACTTGTGTTAGGTGAGGGTGGATTTGGGCATGGTCAGTGTGATAATTGGAGAGGTCGAGGTGGTCATTGGGTGGCTGAAGGTTTTGGTGGATAAGATGGTGAATGGTGGATGTTGGGTTGATGGTAGTGGCCGTGAAGTGGTGGAGGAGGCGGCTGTTGGTGGGCATTCCACTGTCGAGATCCAGTCAGGCTCATTGGCGTTGAAGCGGCTCCAGTTACCGATCATGGAGTCGAACCACGGGAAAGCCTGAGAGCTTTGATACTAACTGATGTAACTGAATGAATAGAACGAGATTTTACTAGTCTAACCCAAACGGAGGATTCTCGAATCCACCTAAAAGAAACGCCACCAAAGAAAATTCCTAAATTGAGAGGAAACTCAACTCTAATTCAATTATCAAAATATTTAAAATCCCCTTAATACAATAGTTATTTACAGTCCACTCATAAAAGGATGACAAAATACAAACTAATATAAACGATAAATAAATAACAAACGACAATAAAATTTAAAAGCAACTCTAATAATCAAATCTCTATGAGTTTAATTTTCTTTCTTTCTTTGACATTATTGCTCTAGTTAGTCACATATGTCATCAATAACTTCTTCTTACTAGATTATATGTGTATGTGTGTTTATGAGATTATGATAACCGTCATTCATGACTTTTTAATTAATATTTTATAAAATTTTAATTTAACATGATATTGATATGACATGATAATGACATTATTAGAGGGTAGAGAAATAAAGAGAGACATAAATTCCGTGTAAGTTTATCTTCATCCAAAAATGACAGTGACGTAATTTCCTCATATGTAGGCCCTTCTTACTAGTCAAACGACACTATTTGCAGCGCCCACAGGTTTCGTCTTTGGTTTTGCTATAGAAGAAAACAATCTTCGGAGATGGCGCCAAAAACTACATATTTTAATGCAAGTTGCATTCATATACAAGTACCACGACTCCAAAAGTCCGTTTGTTATCTAGATTCATTTTTTGATTTAAATTATGGTTCGTAATTCACTATAATATTTTTTCTCATAAAAAATACACATAAATTAAAAATAATTTTAATCACATAGTTTGAATACATAAACTAAACGTCAAATAAAAATCACAAGGAAGAGGACAAATACCGCATGATTAATAGTTTGAAATATCCAAAACTTTAATACAAAGTTAGCGTCAAGTCACACAAGAGTACACTCCATAAATACATAAATCTTTTTCTTTATCATTAATAGTGGCAAGATCATTAAGTCGGTCAATGTGGCGTTCACATTTCAATAGAATAGCTGAATTATATACAGTTAGATCCATAATTTACAGACGAAAAGTTTTAGCAAGTTTTCAAAGACATATAAGGACCATGCGCGATTTCATGAGAATTAATTTCGTAATTTTATGCCAAAAAAAAAAAAAAAATTGACGGTTAAGAAAGGAAGTCGTGACTCTTTCTGTTAGAGATTTTAACAGCAGTATACTTAGATGGAATGGAAGGAATAATTTGAAATAATTTAATAGATTGAAAACTTATAATGGAGTATTTTAGAAATGATGGATCAAAATAAATTTGGCATGTAATTCAAGACTAAAAATGAGTTTTAACACTTTTTTTGCTCAGTAAAAGTAAAACGAGGAGGAGGAGGAGGAGGAGGAGGTCGGCAGATGGGACGGAAGGGGTTTATGCTGGGCCCATTGGGTCTGAATTTGCAATTCTTTTTGGATCAAATTGATGAGACTCTGGATTGGACAAACTTTGGACAGCGTACATGTTGCACTGATCTTCATCTAACTCATGTTGGAATGGATGATTAACAGATTGATTTGGACACCCACTCTCCTTTCTTGATAGTTGACCTGATCTCACTCTATTATTATTTTTTTATTTTGTTATTTCGCGCACCACTAATATATGATTATCCAAAAATGGTATTCCTTAATCAGTTTGCTAATGTATTATCAAAAATACTATGGTTAATGTAGTGCCTGATACTGTGAAAGTAATGGATCCTTCACATGAATTAATTATTAATTGAAAATAATGGCATGTCTCATGCATAAAAAAAAAATACATAACTATAGAGAAAATTAGGTAATATGACACTAAAATCTAGCAGCTTTATGCTTATACTATTTTTGTACATTTGAAGGAAAAAAAAAACACTCTTGGTAGAATATTGAACATATATTCTACCATAATACTATATGCCCAACCATCGTTGCCGAGAAAAAAAAAATTAGTAATTGGGTATTAAAAATATCATGGTCATATATAGAATACTTTTTGGTGAATTGAGTGAAGCGCGTATATATTAGGTTTATGTTGACATAAATGTAAAGATGACATCTTTTGAGTAGTATTACGTTTGTATTTCACCCAAAAATATATATCACACAGGACCAGTTGAATTGTCTGTCATTTCTTGCTCATTCCCATTAGGTTTATTAGATTCAAATTGTAATTTTAAACATAGAATCATAAGTTACTTTTTTTGCTGTTTTATTCTTATTTAATTTTGTTTGCATTTGGATTCGTTTTTCTTTATTATTCTTAGGTTACTATTATGTTTTAGAATTCTGTAAGACTTTTTTTTTTTTCTTTTTCATATTTAAAATAAAAAATTTAAATGTCAGGTATCTCTCTAACAATTTAGGAAAAATACAGTACCCGAGTCATGTGGGGTTCTGAATAAGATGGGCTGCCAAATTGCTGGAACAGATTCTCACAACTAGTTTGTATGATTAATGAGATTCCAACCAGTAATATTATAGTTAGTACTAGTCTAGTTTTGCCTACCAGCTAGAAACATGCTCTTTCGTTGGATACCCTGATCAGTACTGTTACTTTACACGAGTCATGCATACATATTATAGTCAATTAGTGATTTCTTTATAAATCTAGTTACTAGCAATGTTTCTCTAATCTTGTTTTGATTTTTTTACGTGTTTCTCTATGGTTATTATTAATTTTCCGTTAATTAAGGTTAAAGCTAATTGCTAATTAAATATCTGTGGGAGTTGTAACATGTTGCGATATAGACATATTTTCAACTTCGACCATTTTTTATTAAGAAAATTTATGTTGAATTTATTTGTATTCCCCGGCTTTTTAAAAAAAAAAAATTAGTAGATCAACTCTTTTATATTATTAGTTTTTTTCTTTTAAAATGTACATGTGGTAATTCCATTTTGTTCATCGGCTATCTATTCATTCAGAGAGACAGAGAGATACATAAGATCATAGGTAGCATATAACAAGGAGACAACGTTCTCTTATCTCATTGACAAAGAGATTTTATTACAAGTTAACAAAATCTACGTGCCTCTACATATATATATATATATATATGACCTGTATGTATTTTCCAGGTTCTTTTCAAGGGAATTAGCAAGGGAAACTTAATTTTTTTTTTTTAAAAAAACAAAAAAGGAAGTGTGCAGCCTAACCACACTCCAAAGTTTCAAGAAAAATTCGAAACCATTTCCTTTCATTTTTTTTTTTTTTTTTACATATGTTACAAGCTTAATTATTAAAAGATCCTCCATATTCCTTGTGAAGTTGAAAAGATGATCAGGAAGCCACTGATCAATCTTCAATTTTTTTTTTTTTTTTTTTAGTGACAAACGACATCACCTTCCTCCAACTCTATGCCAGCGTCAGCAAGCCTCTTGTCCTTGTACACGTACCGTTTGGCACAAACCAAATATATCACAAAATTCAAGGCACTTAAAATCGCCAACAACCAATAGAAGTCATAAAGCCTGCCTTGGTTAAGATTATCCGGCAACCATGGTTTTGTATTCCATGTCACTTTATGCACAATTGTCACCAACAATGAGCTAACAAAAAACCCAAGTGACAATGTGCTCAAAAACAGCCCTGTGCTCATTGTCTTCATTCCTTTGGGGCACTCCCTAAGAAAGAAGTCAAGTTGACCAATGTATATGAATGCCTCCCCTGACCCCACTAGGAAAAACTGTGGGACCAGCCAGAAAACGCTCATGGGGATCTCAGCCGTCGCACTATCGGTCAAGCCATGTGATCTTGCCACGTGGAGGCGTTTGATCTCGGTGAGAGCAGCGGCTATCATTGCAAAGATGGAGAAAAAGAGGCCAACCCCAATGCGTTGCAAAGGGGTTAGGCCTTGTTTGTTTTTGAGGAATTTTTTGGCGATTGGGACTATGATTCGGTCGTAGACTGGGACGGTTAAGAGAGTGCTGGCGACGAAGAAAACTGTGAGGGAAGCGCTTGGGATCTGGAAAGAGCCCATGTAGCGGTCCATGGTGGTGGCTTGGGAGACGGAGAAAGTGACAAATTGGGCATAGACGGTCCAAAACATAATGGAGGTGGCCCAAATGGGTAACATTCTGATTACAGATTTCACTTCCTCAACGTCTGTTAGAGTTGATAAAGTCCACTTGTTTTCCGTGGTTGGGCCCATTCCAGGGCCTTTGATTGCTGCCTTGTCCAAGAAACTGCACGTATGATGAATATTAATTAGCTCATAAGAATATTTAAGCAATATTTTTATGACCATCATGATGTTTATGTCAAAACTACTCAAGAACTATGTACAGCTCAAATTAAAGTACTATGTAACGTATTAAGAAAAGTTGAGATAAAATTTTAGACCATAAAAATGAATTTTCTTACACAATAATTTTCTTTGCAGTTATTTAAACGCTTGTTAGTGAAAAAAAAAAAAAGAAAAGAAAATTGATGATTCAAGAACCACGTCAGAACAGTTGGCATTAAAAAGTTTAGATAAAATTCAAGACCATTAAAAAAAAAGATTGCAAGCAAGAAGAATCAAATAGAGATTCCTAATTACCTATATACTTTTTAATATATATATATATATTTCGCTTCATCTTCTTGTGGCCCTCAGAAACGTCATCAACATCATACAAAAACGACAAGTCAGAAGGCATCTCAAGCTTCCTGTTCTTCCAAGCAGCCACAAAGACAGTGGCCATCTGCGTGAGAGGGCTTCCACTGAGTTTCTTGAAGCGGTAACGCCTTGTCCCCGACAAGAGCACGACTAATCCCAAGACTATTGCGCATGCACATATTCCGTAACCCCATTCTCGTCCGAGGTTGTCTTGGATGTACACCAGAACTGTCACCGCTCCAAGAGAGCCTATGCTTATGAAGAAGAAGAACCAGTTAAAGAACTTTGTCATTTTTTTTCTCTCTTCTGCATCGGTCTCGTCAAACTGGTCGGAGCCGAAGCCGGAGACGCTGGATTTTAGGCCGCCGGTGCCGAGGGCGGTTAGATACAGCGCTATGTAGAGGACGGTGAGCTCCATGCCGCTTGCCTGGATGCATGGCGGCACGGTGTCGGCGGCGCATTTTGGTGGTCGGAGGCTTGGGACTATTGTTGAGATTGTTAGTACTGTCAGACCCTGTATAATAGTAATACGAAGACCACCAAATTAAACCCCAATCAATTATAAGAGAGTTAATATATATTGTATAAGTGATTGATGATAATTAAGATGTAGAGACTTACAGTTGCTTGAATGGTGGTGAAGACGGCAATGGTGAGGTACCTATATGAAAAAGATTAATTAAGATGATGATTAAGAGGAAAGCGAAATTACATGTCAAACCAAACGTTAATGTTAAAAGTAATTCAATAAAGCGGACAGACAAATTAGAATTGAGAAAGCCAGAAAACCGCGTGTAGAACTACTACATGAAAACTTCAAGTTGCATGTTGACTAGCAGAAAAAGTATATTTGAGACGGTGTTTTATTTAATAATAATTAAAAACAAGGAAATAAATGCCTGCCGAGAAAGGCGTCGGCGATGAAGCCGCCGAGCAAGCAGAGCATGAAAGAGGTGCCGAGGAAGTTGGTGACGGTGCTGGCGGAGGTAGCATTGCCCAAATGCATGGTCCCCACCAAGTACGTCACCATGTTCACGGCAATACCTAGTGTTGTCAACCTCTCCACTGCTTCCACACCTGATCTTATATAAACAAGCAGTAAATTAGGATTTGTACAATATCATGTATGTTAGTATTAGTCTGTGTATATAAATACATACACATACGTCTGAGAAAACTAGACAGAATTTAGGAACATGAAAGAATAAATTAGGTAATTTTGATTAAGGTGGAAGGAAGTGGAGGACCTAGAATCATGGCGGCGGAAGCCCATCCGCCTGTTTTCGACTTCTCAGCGGGGCGGCCCTTGTAGTCCCAGGCATCTGGGAGGGTTTTCCCTTGTGTTTGGGGGAGACCACTGGCCATCTTCTTTTTGAGAGCTAGCTCTCTAGATATTGTACTCCGGGAAGTAGTAGTACGTTTTGTAATATGATACAAAGAGCTGCTTAATTTGGTAATTAAATCTAGCTGAGGGATAAGAGAATATGTGATTATGGCACAAAGAGGTTGGAGAGCTTGTGGCCTTCATATAGTGGGAACTTAGAAGCAACACATAGATACAGAAAATATTGTATTATATTTGTGGCTTAATAATTAACCCTAGCTTTATTGCAAGGGGCCATATGAACCAAGAATAATCATTCCCATTAATATATGGAATTAAGGGAGAGTTAAGTGGATCTTAATTATTCTAATTTTTTCTTTAAAAAAAAATAAAAAATGAGATCATCAATAGCAACAAGACTTCCTAAAACACTCTAACGAAAAAGCAAAAATGGAAATTTATCTTCCATACAAAAACATTTAATTAGCAGTCAGTCTAATTTATACTTGTTAAATTTTCTTGTCATTACTTGAGCCTCAACTTTATGCATACATTCCAGTGTGCTTTTTTGCATTTCATTAAGATAAAGTGAAGATTAACCATCAGGGTGATTTGGTTTTGAGCCATAGTTTCCCTTTTTATAATGACGTGTAGACTATGAATAAGTACAAACCCAATAGTCAAAAACTATATATGTTCCCAAACTAGCATGTAACCTCCTCCTTTAACCAATAATTATCCCAATGTACGCTGGCGCTTATAAGCGCTTTGCTCATCTTTGATTTCTTTTCCTTGATTATAATTTTTTTTTTTTTTAATATGAGGATGGATAAAGTTCAAACTCTACATCTTATAGTGAAATCATATATGAAATTACGGACAGATTGTGACCACCTCTTCTATTTAATTAATACGTGAATGTGTTGATTAGTGTATATATCATCTTGGATTCTTAGATAATTAAGCATATGATCATTTCCTTTCATGGTATCTGACAGCTAGCCCAGAGGACTCAACAATGTAGGTTAATTAAAAGATCTAATTCCCGTTCGCATTAATGAACTTATCATGACATACACTTTGTAGTTATGCTGCTTAAGCTCGAGTACAAGTCATGTACTAGAAAAGTAGGCCCTATTATGTTTCTATTTGCGGACCCAGCTCGTTATAATATTTCTCTAGCTGAGGATAGAATTCAATCTTTAAAAGTTGACCTAATTACTGCAAATAATGGACGAGAAAATTATTATTGAAACTCAACTCATGATCATATATATATATATATAGCTTGTACAATTGGTGCATCAAGTTGCTAATTATAATGCATGTATCAGCGCTTCATTAATAACTACTTTCTCTTATATAAATTAGAATTACATTATTGAAAAATCTGAACTTTTATAAGTAAAATCATCAAGCACTTGTTACGTCCTAACTCATCCTTTGTGCGAAACAACAAATGAACGGTTCAGATTATAGAGCAATTCGCGTGTTGTATTAGTCGCTGCGCTGACTACATAATTCTAACTCAAACAATTATACCATGGCTGCTGTATATTAATAATTAAAAGCAGACCCCCATTAGTTATCCTCTAGCCAGTTCTTAATTTTCGCTAATTTGACGCAATAATTTGATTGGTAAACTATAATAGAACAATCAATCAAGTATAAACAAACTATTTCTTTTTATACAAATATAAACAAACAATATTAATACAAGAGAAGCGGATATAGTTTCTTTGGAAAAGAATGACGTATAAATGATGCTTCATATGGACTGAAAATTTGACAACATAACTAGTTGCTAACATTTTCTCTTCTGATTTCCTTTTCCATTCCTTTTGAAGGAACCCAAAAAAAAAAGTTATTTAATATCATCTGAACAGTACTGTATGGCCAGAGTTTGATGACCTGGCTTATTTGTGTCCATCCAAGTCCTTTTTTTTTTCTTCGAGTTTTGACCCACTCAAAAAATCAAAAGCTTTGGACGGCCTAAAAGTATAAAATTATTTGCTCTTAATTATTATGATATGGGAAATAGAATTCAATTTATACATGGAACTGGCTAGAAATTTAATGGTACTTTTTTTCTTATAAAGAAATTATTAAATGGTACGTGGTTAGCAATATTGTTCCAAGAAATGGGCGGTGCATCAAGGCAGTGACACTTAGCACATATCTCTTTCTTTCTTAGTAGGAATTCATTTCCACCACTAGTTTAGACATCACGAGAAAAACGATTATTGAATGAGTACTAGAAACCAGAATACAAATCAAAGAAGAAATATAAATTACATTAAGTATAACTTGCCATTGTAGAATCTTTTGACGTTATTTTCCAAAAAGAATAATAAATAATAAACATTAAACATTTGGTCTCGAAATATTCTACATTTATTGGAATTAAAAAGTTTCCTTATCTTTGTTTTCTTTTTTTTTTCCTTTTTTTTTTCCAATGGGTGTTACCGGTCAAAATTTTTAATGAGGCGTGCTTTGGGTTAATTCCATCAAGATTAGATCATTGACGATGACCACTGATCAGATTATTCAAGAGCTGATTATGTGGATTTTTTGTTTTTAATCTTGCTTTGCTTTCGATCGGTTTCATTTTCTTTTTGCTGCTTTGTGTTTTGGTAGTTATCTCTTATTTTTGATGAGTTCTCGGGTAACTACTAATGTTACTTTGATGTATTATTTTACTATGATATCCGTTATTCTCTCTTAACATTTATTAATATATGCATGTATGTAATAAGAAAAAATAGAATTCAATTAGATTCAGTGAGAAAGACCTTTTTTGTTCATTTCTATGACGGCCCCTCCTTAAAAAATGAATCTTGAATTTTCTTACTGCGAATACGATCAATTGTAGCTATACAACAAAATAAAAGTGATATTATATTGGAGCATAATTGAGGTGTATATATAAGTAGGAAAAATAGATGAAAGGGGGAGTGGGTGTATAAAAAGTATAAAGTCAAGGGGCAGAATGGCAGCTATTTGATTTAACCCCTTTGTTATTTGAGCTGCGTCTGATTTCACAATTAACGCAGTCGTATAGACGCGTATAGAAAGCAACTGATATCTGCCTTCTATTATAAAGAAAACGTTCAAATGATGAATGTTCATCATAATAAAGAACACACACACACACACACACACACATATATATATATATATTATACGTACATATATGATCAAATGGTATCAGATAGGGTATCTCATCAATTCAAGTATTCTTTCATGTGCTCCAAGAGCCATTCCACGAGACAAGCTATTACAAGTTGGCTGAATCATACACATATAAAATACAAATTATAGAGAGCTATGGATCTAATAGTATATACTAATTGGCCCTTTGTCATTTTTCTAAAATTTTTACACAATTAAAAAATGTCTATAATGGATGAGAGAGATAGAGAGAGGCAATGATTTTTCAGATAAAATTTAGGGGCCATATATCCCATGTTTTTGTATGATATTATTGGTAGACTTATGGCTATATATAATAAATTAAGGACCTAAAAATACTAAGGCATACGCATTGGACGGCTCATGCTGTCTCGTATTTTGTCAAATAATAACATCATATATATTCTTTGTGAAACTATTAATAAACAGAAAGAAAATAGAAGTAAACTCTCGGTGATAAAAATCGTGTAGCGGCGACTAAATATGTGAATTAATTGTACTTTTTAGACCTAACTATTTTGATCATCTACATGTATATGATGTATGGCCAGTCCACAAGGACGTGCTTATCATGATCTTGACGTTCCTCGGATTGGAGCCACGTGACATTTAGGTTTCATCTAGATAGTCAACACTTGGAGGTGATTATCAAAGTTCTTTACTTGTTAGTCTAATTTTATGCCCAACTACGAGTTCTGAGTGGCTAATCCATGTTTGGTTTCTCTAGCTAACCAATAAGATGCCGAGAATCTCCAGCAAATGTATCTACCCCAATGGGTATATACTATTTAACAATTATGTCGGAGAAATATTCATAAATTATATATAATATGGTATAAGCATGCGTCTCTCTCCCAGATAAATTACTATATATTAAGTTTGAAATTTTAGTTTTTTCTTTGAAATAATAGATCTCATATGCCCTCTATTTTCCTCGCGCATGTAGTCCACGTATAAGTGTATATATATAGAAAAATATCGAATTGGTTTACAACATTTGTGTCATCTGTTGAACTATAACTCTTAATGAAACAAACAACAGCATAAGTATTCTTGCATCAACTTAAGTGTGCATTGACTTATCATTTTTTTTAACATATAAGATGAGTTCATGATTTGCAAGTTAAATGTTAGAATATCATGATGATGGTGATGATAAAAAAGCATATAGAACAAGTCAAAAAAAAAAAAAAAAAAAAAAAAAAAAAAAAAAAAAAAAAACAAAGAGTAGTTGTAGCATTGTGGTCCGGGTGTGATGCATGTGAAAGAAAACCTTTGACAGTTCAATGAACATGTAATTTGTTGATCATTTGATCACGAGTTTCATTAGTTGGAGTTTCTTTTTAGATTAATTAGTTTCAACTTTCAATATGTAGTTGGACTCTATGAATGGATATATATGTAGAGATCGCTTTTGCTAAATCAAGAAATAAAGGTATTCATATGCCAAATTATTAAAATGTATAATTATTAAGTACATAATCGCATATATAATTGCATCATTAATTAATAGTACTGTGTTAGATATGTAGTTATAATTTGGATATATAGTATTGTGTTATATATATATATACCTCTTAAGTATGATATTCACGATAATCATCTCCTCAAGTGGGCATGTCGGCCGTCACGAGGTGAAGATAAGAAAACGCAATGGTTGGCTATGTCAAATTGCATATGTATGACATATATACTATAAATTATAGTATATTATATAGGTAAAAAGTACTAGACATTTAACAAGGCAAAGTGACGAATCACAATGAAAAATACACACACACACACACACACACACACACACGCAAGAATAATCCATCCATTGTCTATGAAAAGTGATGAAGGTATCAACATATAATTGTATCTGAAAATGTCTTAATAAACGATTTAAACATCTTTTTCCAGCTGACGTTATATATAGCAAACGTATAAAGAAAGGAATCCATTTGCATTATCAAATTTGACCCATTTCCCGT